ATGGGGGTGAGGTGGAGGTGGGGTGTGTGGGCAGGGTGGGGACGGGGAAGCTGCTGGGCTTGATTGTACAGGATGTGGAATAGGGATAGAGCCAGCCTCCCGGCAGGTCTCCCCTCTGCTCCATCAAGTTGCTTGTCCCCACCTCCCAGTCCTTGTGTCCCTCCTACCCCCCACCCCACTCCCACGTTCCTTTCCAGGGCAGGGGCCCTTTGGAGAAATTCTTACCAGTCTGTACACTTACCTTTACTGGGCCAGATGGGAGACACCCAGAAGAGGGGAGTGACTCGTCCACTGAGGTCATCACTGAGACCCTTTTCAAAGTCAAAGCGACAGGTCATTGGGTGGGGCACGACGGGCAGAAACCTGAAGCCATGCACCGCTCAGAGGGAAGTGTTAGACGGCCCCCTTTGGAAGCTCAGTCACTCATGGGCCAAACAGATCTGCCAGAAATGCTTGCTCATCTGGAATGTGGCCTGGGCCCTCGTTGGGGTAGTTTTGTAGGGAGGGCCCAGTGTAGGAACCGTGGCATGAGGCCTGCAGAAAAACAGGAGACCCCTCTCATCTCCCAGGGCTGGGAACTTTCAGAGCCTTTTCTCTACCTTTTATCTCACGGAGTAGACCTTAAAGACGGGAATGCCATGAATCTCTCTCTTTTATACAGATGAAGAACTGAGTGAGAGAGGAGGTGACTTGCCTCAGGTCCTGTCATAGCTGGACAGTGACGGTGGAGGAAGACTGGCCCCCGGGCAGCCCTTAGGACACCAGTGGGCATTTGAAGTGTCTGGAACTGCTGCTTGCCACACCCCCTTCCCCAGAGCTGACCCAGGGGTTGGATACAATATCTGAGCTCCCATCTGTGGGGTCCTTCAGCTACTTGGGGCACCTGGCCCTGGAGGCATTTCCTCTCCGACCACCAGCTGCCACCTGATTGGCCCCAGCTTGTGGGTAGAAGGCCAGCCCTGGAAGGGCCTGTCATGGGCATCAGTCCTACCTCTTTTGTTGTTCAGAGGTGGAAACTGAGGCCCCGAGATGGAAGTGACTTGTCCAAGGTCACAAAGCTTGCTAGGGACAGAGTGGAGACCAGAGCCCAGGGCTGCTGATGCCTGACTAAGAGTCCCCTGTTCTTCCTGCCTCCGCTCCTCTCTCTGGCTCTTCGTGCTTGGCACTTAGGCTCTGAGGTGAGGTCTGGAGGAGCGGCTTGCTCCAAGGCAGGTCTTCCTCTGCTGCCCCATGAGCACTGACTTCACTCATGGCTCCTTCTGAAGAGATGCCTGGTGGTGGCCACAGGGGGGCAGCAGTGGGAGGGACAGGAAGGTGGCCTTGCGGTGGACAGGGCTGAGAGGGAGAGAGGGACCTCTGAGAGCAGCCCTGGAACCAGAGCAACTGAGTGTGGGGTTATGAGGTTTCAGGCTTGAGGATACCCATAAAGGGCCCTTCTAGCCTCAGGAGTGAATCCAGGCTCCCCAACTCTCTGCCTAAGAGCCCCCATTCATTCACTCATTTAGTTATTTGTCAATCACTTACGGAGCACTTATACTCTGTGCCTGGCCCTGGGCTGGTACCACTTGATATTCTTTCCAGCAACCTGGTGGGTGTTGAGTTCAGTGTTGAGGGGAGAAACATGGGAAGGAGTGGCCACTGCCTGCTGAGGCCAGACCTGCAGGTCCAGGGGGCTGCCCTGGCTGGGAAAATGCTGGCTTTGGAGCCACACAGACCTGGCTCCACCACTTTTAGCTCCTGACTCTGAGGCACGTGTCTCAATATCCTTTGGAAAATAAACATCAACGTTTATCACTAAGATTGTTAAATAACAGTCCCAGAAGGGAAAGGTGGGGGCAGAGGGATAAATTTGGAGTTTGGGATTAACTACTATATATAAAATGGATAACCAACAAGGACCTACTGTATAGCACAGGGAACTCTACTCAATATTCTGTAATAACCTTATGGGAAAAGAATCTGAAAGAGAATGGATATATGTATATGTATAACTGAATCACTTTGCTGTACACCTGAAACGAACAGAACACTGTAAATCAACTATACTCCAATATAAAATAAAAATCAAAAAAAGAGAAAATAAACATCAACCTTTATCACTGACTATTAAATAAGTCAAATGAAATCAATAAATCGCTTTTTTTTTGTTTTTTGGCTTCCCCACGCAGCTTGTAGGATCTCAGTTCCCTGACCAGGGGTTGAACCCAGGTCACGGCAGTGAAAGCCCAGAATCTAACCTCTAGGCAATCAGGGAACTCCCCTAAATCACTCTTTCATAGTAGTTGAAGTGGTGTTTGTTCCCCAGCTACAAGGTTACATTCACCGCAAAATAATCTAATGGAAAAACAAAACTATGTCTCAAAATCATGAATCTTTGTTTAAAGAAGAATCTCTGTTCTCTCACTGTATTCAAGATTCAGATGTAGCCACCATCCTTGGGTATGTTAGTTAAATTTTTGGAGCTTATTTCTTTTGAAAATTGGAGGATCCTTGCTTTGCCTACATCATCATCATCGTCATCATCATTATTATTATAGCATGTATGAGAATTTTATTCTTTTGTAAGGCTGAATAATATTCCATTGTAAATATGTATCACATTTAGTTTACTCATTTATCTGTTGATGGACATTTGAATTGTTTTCATCTTTTGACCATTGTGACTAGTGCTGCTATGAACAAGAGTTTTATATCTGTTTGAGACTTACGTGCAAATCTGTTGGATATATACCCAGAAGTGGAATTGCTCATCAAATGGTTATTCTATGTTTCATTTACTTTTTGCATAGTGCTTTGTCTACATTATGGACGTGATAAAACAGGAGTATGAAGTTAAAAGTATTTACCGGCTGTAGTAGATGCTCTTTGAATGCTAGAGGCATGTTTTTCTATATATATATATTTAATAATTTATTTTTTAAAAAATCAACTTATTATTATTATTATTTTTTAAATTTATTTACTTATTTTTGGTTGTGTTGGGTCTTCGTTGTTGCACGCAGGCTTTCTCTAGTTGTGGTGAGCGGGGGCTACTCTCCGTTGTCATGCGCGGGCTTCTCATTGTGTGGCTTCTCTTGCTGCAGAGCATGGGCTCTAGGTGCGCGGACTCCAGTAGTTGTGGCACATGGGCTCAGTAGTTGTGGCTCACAGGCTCTAGAGCGCAGGCTCAGTAGTTGTGGCGCACTGGCTTAGTTGCTCCGCGGCATGTGGTATCTTCCCAGACCAGGGCTCAAACCCATGTCTCCTGAGCTGGCAGGCGGACTCTTAGCCACTGCGCCACCAGGGAAGCCCCTGTTTTTCTATATATTAATTTACAGATTGCTCAAATTTTATCTTGGCTGTACAATATTCATTGAATTGTGCCTCAGTTTCCTTAGCCATAAAAATGAAGGTAAAATCTCTACCTTACAGTGATGGAAATAATTTGTAGACCAAGGACTGAACAGGAGAATCCAACTTTCCATTGGTCTGCTGGAGGGGGCACACTGTCTGGTGGAAGGTTGGTTGCTCCCCTGGCATCCCCTTGAGCGAGCAGCCTCTCACCTCCAGGGACATCTTCTGCCTGATGCATTTCTTAAAGCTAGAGAACCGGACAAAGTGAGAGCTGGGCATACCTTCTATTTCCTCTGGCTTCATCCTCACTGGGTACTTAAAGAATTTGGGGGAGGGGGTTCATGAGAGGAGTGGGACCCTAAGTGTCAGATTCTTCAGTTGTTTGTTTGGAAGTTGTTTTGCCCCTTCTCTTTGGTGTGGGATCCCAGGGTTGGGGGCAATGTACAGCAATCTATTTGGTGAATGCCTGGGCAAATCTCTTAGTTATAATGAGCTTCGGTTGTCTCATTTTTAAGTAGGGGTAGTATTGTTTATGTCATATGATTGAGAAAAGGTCTGGCACATAGTAAAGGCTCAATAAATATTAACTATTAGCTATCTGGGGGAGAGAAGTGAGTAAATTGACAGTTACAATGTAGTGTAAGATGCTATGTAGGGGTGAGCATAGGGTGTATCAATCAGGAGCATAGAAAACAGGTGTCTACGTCAGATGGGGTGGGAGGACAGGGAAGGCTCACTGAAGGAGGCAAAACAAGCTAACTGTTAAAGTACAAGTCGGAGTTTGTTTCACGGCGAAAAGATGGGAAGCGTGTTTCAGGCAGAGGGAACAACATCTATGAGGATGCATAGAGCCATTTCCAGTTTATACCAGAGCATCCTGCAAGTGGTAATTTATATCAATTTTCCCTCTCCAATTCTGGGATGAAGGCTCTCATGTCCCATGTTTTTTTTTTTTTTTTTTTGGCCGTGCCGAGCAGTATGTGGGATCTTAGTTCCTAGACCAGGGCTCGAACCTGCACCCCCTGCATTGGAAGGGCGGAGTCTTAACCACTGGATTGCCAGGGGAGTCCCTCTCATGCTCCCCTTTTTTAAAAAAAAATAAATTTATTTATTTATTTTTGGCTGCGTTGGGTCTTTGTTGCTGCGTGTGGGCTTTCTCTAGTTGTGGCGGGTGGGGGTTACTCTTTGTTGCAGTGCGCAGGCTTCTCATCTTGGTGGCGGAGCACGCACTGTAGGCGTGTGGGCTTCAGTAGTTGCAGCACGTGGGCTCAGTAGTTGTGGCTTGTGGGCTCTAGAGTGCAGGCTCAGTAGTTGTGGCGCATGGGCTTAGTTGCTCCACAGCATGTGGGATCTTCCCAGACCAGGGCTCGAACCCGTGTCCCCTGCATTGGCAGGCGGATTCTTAACCATTGCGCCACCAGGGAAGTCCCTCATGCTCCCTTTTTAAGCTCTCTTGAAATTGCCTGTCTCCCATGAGAATAAATGCTGAGAGTAGTCTCCGTTTGGTTTATTGTTGCATCTCTAGCAGTACCCGGCACGTTTTAGACATTTAAATACATGTTGAATGAATGAATGGACTTCTCTCCATCATCTTCTCATAGACTCAGACTCGCCCTCTTTTCTTTCCCTGTTGTACTACTTCCTTACAACCCTACCGCATTCTGTCCTTCATCTGCCAGGCTCCGTTGCCCCTGAAGCAGTGATGGTCAAACACATGAGGACTGATTCACAAGTCACATTTACACTGACCACTCCAGCAGAGGGAAATGCTTGGGTCAGTTGGACAACGACCATGGGAAGATAAACTGGAACCAGAGCATGGAGCTGAAGCAAGGGTAATTGGTGGTGTTGCTGAGCCAGGATGGCGTCTGGTTCCACTGTGGGACAGGCTTGCCCTGGAGGGGCAGACCTTGGTACCTCCTGTTTGGGATTCCCTCTGCCTGGGCAGGGTTGGAGGGGCACTGACAAGGCCAGCTCCTCCCTCTTGTAGGCTCTGCAGAGCTGTATGAGCTGCTCCCCTGCAGGCTCATCCTGTCTCTGGGTGTGTTAATAAAGTGAGCAGGCTTCCTTCAAACAGGGCTTCCTTCTAAGCTGTCTTCTGAGTCAGTGAGGCAAGCCTCTCTTTAAATGGCCCGTCCCTTTAGTGAGGGGTGACTCTCAGAGGTAACTGTATTCCTGAGTTCTGGGGGCACTTCTCTGTTTTCAGGGGCCAGCACTGGCTTCCTCAAGTGTCATCTTCCGGAACCCTCATCGGGCAGCAGTGTCCGGCATCTCTGGCTTCCAATCTCAGTCCCCATGAAATCTGGCCGCTCCCTTCCTGGGTGGTCTCCGCTCCTGTCAGGCACTCCTGCTCCTTCCCCCTTTCCTGCCTCACCCTCTGCAGCAGCCTGGCCTTTAGACCAGACGGTTCTACCCTAAAAATAGTGCCTCACATTTGTGCCGTCCTGTACAGATCAGGAAAGCTTTCCACACATATTCACTTATTTGATATTCCCTTTGGTTGTGGAAGGAAGGAGGAGCAGGTGTTAGATAACATATGAAGAGTTTCATGGGCCCTGGGAGGGAAGCACTCCTCTGGGGAGTGCTTGAGCAAGTGACCTTGGAGGGTAGGGTGGATGGGTGTGTGAATTTGCAGGTTGAATGGTTTCTGGTGATGACAAGGCCCAGGGTGTGTCCATGGGAGCTGGTGTCTGAGGAGGAGAGGAAGAAAAAGCCTTTGGACATCTGAGGTCAAGGCTTTGAGCTGTCAGGGTGTTGGATGGGCTGACCACTCGGATAGTGAAATCACTGAGAATGACGATGGGAACCGGGTGGACAAGAAGACAAGGTGCCAGTGGCTGAGTCTCAGTACAATGAGAACGAGCATCAGGAATGGTGGTTGTCAACACTGAAGAGGGGAAAAGGGTAGCTCAGCCAGGTGGTATGAGTCTTAGAGAAGCCAGAGTTTTCCAAGAAGCAGAGGAGGGATGGTCTGGAAGCTGAAATGGGGCGAGAGGGAGACGACAGACACCAAGTTTATGTATGCTGAGGTCTGAGGGCTGGGGGAGAATAAGAGTCCTCCCCTGGGAGGGTAATAGGGGACAGTGAGGGTCAGTTGAGGCAGGGAGCAGGAGAGAGCTACTGAGAAGAGGCTGGGGTGTGGGGGATGTTTTCTGATCACTGGGAATTCCAGGGGTCTTTATTCTAGGAGGGGTGTGGGGAAGGGGTGGGGTGTAGTTTGGTCAGGTGAGGGAAGAGACTCTGGAGTTCTGACTTCTTAGTGATGACTCAGGAAAGCAGGAGGGTGAGTGCAGTTAATCCTTTCTAGTCTCTGCTGGCAGAGGTGGGATTGGTGCTTTCAGTGGAGTCCCAAATAAACGCTTGTTGAAGGTGAGCTGGGAAATCTGATCCTGTGTTGGAGTATAAACTTTGAAATCACACAATGCTCAGAATAAATAACTCCATATTTGGATGATACTTGAGAATATACAAAGCATTTTTATTGTACTTTATCATTTTTTTCCTCATTTCCTTCTTATTGTAACCCTGTGAGGTGGCTACATCCCTGCGAAGTGTCAGAGCCGGGATTACAACTCCATGCTGCCTTCTAAGCGCATGGATATGTACAGTGCTTTCTGAGTTACAAGAAAAAAGACCTTCCCGAAGTCCATTTTTGTGCACCTGACCATTGACCATTCTAATTTCCTTAGCTTCTCCTGTGCCATCTTTTCAATATTCAGAGAATTAATGGTTTTTCCCAAAGAAAACCTCAGTTATCTTGATATGATAGCTTGTAAAATGGAGGCAGTAATGGCTTGCAGGCTCTGTTTTGACAAGCTCAGAGAGATACAGGGCAGCGAGTCATAGCTAAAGATGACTCCACTTACTTAACTGGGACTAGCTGTCAGCTGCTGTGGGCAGAAGTGGGAATTCAGGAAAGGGGCAGATCACCACCACTTATTTTTGCCCCTTGAACTCCTGGCTGAGAGCTAGACCCCAGATAAAACTAGGTAATCTCAACAAACAAACAGAAAACAAAACCCCCCAAAAAACCCAACTAGGTAATCTCGTCCAGGGGTGGCTTCAAAGCCCCTTTTAAACCTATTCTATTGATGTCATTCCAAGCTCTCTCGCTTCAGAAAACCTTTGGAAAGGAGGCTGCGGCTAGAAGAGCGATGTGAATCTTTTCGCTGGGCTTAAAGGGTCGAACTGTAGCGGCCTCTCCAATTATAAAACCCGTTTAACGATAAAGTAACGCGTTTGTCTAAGCTCCTCCCCAGCATGACGTCACCAGACACACCCCTCGAGTCCTCGCCTCATTTCATATCCAGAAAGACCTATTTTCCCTGTGGGGCATATACGGATTTGCTTTAGCACATGCATTAAAATGCACAGATAAACAGGTAGTTTTGAAAACTTTCTCAACATGAACACGTTTATTCTTTTTTTTTCATGTTTGTAGGGTTGTGTGGAAGGCAATGTGAGGTTCACTTAGGAAATTTTAAGACGTCAGCCCCCCCTCGGAGGAAAATAGTTGCGTCCAATTCCCGCCCCCCAACGTGTCACGCGTGTCAGCTAAGAAGGCGGGACCGTGACGTCAGAGTCTGGGCGGGTTGGACGGTTCCAAATGAGTTCTGGTAGGGGAGCTTGTATAGGCTAGAAGGCTGCCCTAGGAAGTAACCTTCTTTCTCTCCATAATCCATTTGTGCAGGCTTTAATTTAAAGTCACGGAAGCACGTGTGCGGGCTGACAGTCCTCTCCACGGCCATGAAGAAGACGGGGGCGGAACCCCTCCTTGTTGCCGCTCCACCGAGTGGCCGCCTCCATTCTGGGCCAGGTGGCCTGATTTAAGGGATAGGGAAAAGTGTCAGTTTTAGGGATCTCAAAGGGTGGCGGCACCATGGCCCCGCTGGGAGGCGCCCCGCGGCTGGTGCTGCTGTTCAGCGGGAAGAGGAAATCCGGGAAGGACTTCGTGACCGAGGCGCTGCAGAGCAGGTGTCCGCGGGGCGGGGAAGGGGGAGGGCCGGGGCGACCCCGAATCACGTGACACGAGGGGTATGTTGGGGTGTGATGGAGTGAGCTTTGGAGTTGAGGTCCTCGGGTTGCAGGGCAGAAGGAGCGCTGGGCGGCGAGAAGTGAAGGACTGTCACCGTCACGTAAAACAGCAGTCTGCACACGCCCGCCTCAAAGAACCAGGGGGCCACCTCTCCGAAGACTGTAAGCTGTAGGTCTCTCCAAGAAGCATTAGTAACAGTTACTACCAAGGCACGTTTTTATACATCATTCTTAATCCTCCAGACAGTGTTGCGAGGTGATGGTTGCAGAAAAGGAAACTGAGTCACAGATAAAAGATTTGCCTCAGACCACACCTCAGTTGTATCAGACTTCAAAGACGAATCCTTGCCCAACACACCACCTAATCGCTGCGGTTTACTGAGCCTTTATTGTGTGTCACATAGTGTTGTTAGGTACTGCGTGGTATTATTAATCAGTATCTCCATTTCACAGATGAAGAAACTGAGACTCTGAAAAGTTAAAAACAAACAAACAAAAACCCAAACCCAAACTTGCCAGAAACACAAAGTAATCAGTAGATCCAGAACTCAAATTCAGCTTTAGCCTAGCTCCAAGGAATGGGTTCCTTTTGCTTTACCTCACTGCTTCTCCTAATAATACCTTTTGCTCAGGTTTTCTCCCAAAGCAAGATGTTCTGTGTGGGAGTATTTTTGTTGGGCTAGGAGAGCACAGAAGCCTGAGAACGTGGAGTGGGGCTCCCCTCCTCTTGAAGGCCAGTGTGGTGAGGGTAACAGGAGGCTGCTTTGGGACACCATGGGGGTTCTAAGAGGTTGCGGAAAAGCCCAGGGCAGAATTTGCTGCCCTAATCTTTCACCACTAAGTATCCGCCACCTTTTCCTAAGTAACATTTCTTCTTACCACCCAACACATAAATCAATTCGCGATCAGAAGCACAGGCTCTGGAATTAGACTGCTGGGATTCAAATCCTGACTCAACCACTTATTCGAGTGTGATCTTGTTCAAGTTTCTTTTCTTTTTTTAAAAATAAATAAATTTATTTATTTATTTTTGGCTGTGTTGGGTCTTTGTTGCTGCGCACGGGCTTTTTCTAGTTGTGGCGAGCGGGGGTTACTCTTCGTTGCGGTGCGCGGGCTTCTCATTGCGGTGGCTTCTCTGGTTGCAGAGCACGGGCTCTAGGTGCGTGGGCTTCAGTAGTTGTGGCACGTGGGCTCAGTAGTTGTGGCATGTGGGCTCTAGAGCGCAGGCTCAGTAGTTGTGGCGCACGGGGCTTAGTTGCTCCAGGGCATGTGGGATCTTCCCGGACCAGGGCTCAAACCCGTGTCCCCTGCATTGGCAGGTGGATTCTTAACCACTGCGCCACTAGGGAAGCCTGTACAAGTTTCTCATGAGAAAGTTTTGTCATCTGTGAGATGGAGATAATAATAGGGTGATTGTAAGGATTAAATGAGATAACGCACATGAAGGGCTTGGAACAATTCTTGGCATTTAGTAAAGGCATAGGAATTAAATATTGGCTTTTATATTTATTTTACCCATATTGGCTTTGTTACTTGCAACGGTGCTTTGGGTGAGTCACTTTTCCTCACTCAACCTTAGTTTCCTCATCTGAAACATGGAAATAAGAACATCTATCTCACCATGTCAGTGTTTAAGTGAATCTGTAAGCATCTCAAGGTCAGGGCAGAAATCATGTATCTTATTCACATTCGTATCACCTGGATCCAAATATAGAACCCAACAAATGGTTGGCTGAGCAAATTGAACAACTGAATGAATGAGTTATTTATGTGTGGTGACCAAGTCAGTTGAGACTGAGATACCCCTGGCTGTGAGAGAACTAGTTCAGGGGCCCAGCAGCAACTGAATCCAGCCAGAATATTGCTCGGATGTTCACACTATAATTATGCTTTTATTTGTTTTCCCTGTTAGTTTCAGGGCTCTTTCACATTCGAGTTTCATAATAGTCCTGTGGGAGACAGAAAAGAAACTGTTATCCCCATTTTACAGATGAGGAAATCAGGGAAGTTGAGACCTGAGAAAATTATATAGATGCCAGTAGCAGAAATGGGGCTTCACTCTGCTGGGGCCTGGAAGCTTTAGGTTAACGGGGTTCGGATCTCCCTGTCTCACAGACTTGGAGCTGACGTGTGTGCTGTCCTCCGGCTCTCTGGTCCACTCAAGAAGCAGTATGCTCAGGTAGGTGGTGGTTCTGTGGCATCTGGTGGGTTGGAAGAAGCCAGCTCCTGAGCTTTGGTTGCTGTGCTGTTGCTTGAGTCACTAGCAGCATCTCTCTGGCTCCTTTTGGCAGGGTGGCAGACGGCTCTCCGCTTTCTATAAGTGGACCTTTTGGGGGCATTTTCTGTTTAAGTTTCTTTCCCATCGGCCTTACTCACTTCAGGCCACCTCCCTAGAGCGTGTTCAGGAAAGTGTGTCCAGAAAAGGCTGTAGACGCGAGTTGGCAGCTATGATGCCATGTTATTGGTAAGGGTCTGTCCCCTTATTCAAAAAATATGACACACATCACCCCCACTTCCCCCATTAAAGCTGGCCTGCAACAACCCTTGGAATTCTCCCCTTAGAAATTTAATCACATGACAAAAGCAAGATGTAGAACAGTGTATAGAGAATGCTGCATTTGTATAAAAATGGGGAAAATTGTAAATATATTTGCTCATACACTTAGCCATTCAACAAATATTTATGGGGTGCATTCAGCACCGTTCTAGGTGCTTGGGATGTGTAAAAGCCTGGGCAGGATACATAAGAGACTGGACCATTGGCTGCCTCCAGGGAAGGGACCTACATGGCTGGGGAACAGAGGAGGGAGAGAGATTTTTCACTGTAAACGATGTTTATCTTTTGAATTTTGAACCATGTAGATTAAAAAAAAATAGGACTGCAAAAAATAAATAGGAACTCTCAGGATCTTAGACTTCAGAAAGGGAGCCTGGAGGGTGGGATTAGCTCCCCACACAATGAAGAGCCTGATCTTCGCTTACATTTCTGTCCTTGACCTCTAGGTGCACCCTTCCAGGGACCTGTGCTCATGGCCCCTTGGTCAGTTGGCCTGAGAGTGAACTTCTGGGTCCACACAAAATGAATTTGTCCCCTCCTTCCATATGACGGCCCCATCTCCATGGGAAGCATTCTCCTGTACCATTGGGTCTTCTCCCACCACCTAAACAGACCCATTCGTAGCATGGCAGCCTGGGGGATCCTGGGAATAACATTCAGTGGTTTTCAATTTTTTTTTTTTTTTTAGTGGGAATCTTTCCCAAGTGAAATTGGATGCAGAAATTCCTTGTGTCCAGTAGATAGACTGGGAGCGACTCTGAGTGGAGTGGAGGCACTCAGCCTTCCCCAGTGGGGCTTGGGCACCTCCAAACCCCAGGGCTCGGAGGAGCAGTTTGAAAACCACTGATCTGCTTCCAAACTTCCCAAATTAGGCCCCACTCCAGACCAGTGAGCCAGGCTGGAGGGTGGGGTAGGGTGAGTGGGCAGGAGTTTGCATTTCTAAAACCCCAGTAGGAGACGGATAGGCCAGCCTGTGCCCGCTGTTTTTAAGTCCAGCACTACTTCATCCATTACTCCCATTTGAAAACAAATTCAAAATGAAATGTTAATGCATTGATTTTTTAAGTTGCAATGGGGAATATAATTGACAAGCAGACCATAATGCTCCTGGTGGCTAATCTTCCCCTGTGGTAAAAAGTACATGGTAGGGCTTCCCTACCCTACCACTGGCAGAATCTGCCTGCCAATGCAGGAGACACGGGTTCGAGTCCTGGTCCGGGAAGATCCCACATGCCGCGGAGCAACTAAGCCCGTGCACCACAGCTATTGAGCCTGTGCTCTAGAGCCCATGAGCCACAACTGCTGAGCTCACGTGCCACAACTACTGAAGCCCGTGCGCCTAGAGCCCGTGCACCGCAACGAAGAGAAGCCCCCGCTCGCCGCAACTAGAAAAAGCAGCCAAAAAAAAAAAGTACATGGCAAACTAGTTTATAGTTTATAAATGGGAGATGGCTGCTGGCCCCACCTTGGAATAGGGTGCAGGTAGGTGATTTGACTTGCTGGGTCACGGCCCCTTCAGTTTGTACGTGAAGAAACTGAGTCTTTCGGGAGAGGGTCTTGCTGCAGTGAATGCCAGGGGAGCTGAAACCTGAACTGAGTGATGTTTTTCAGACCCCCTCCCATCCTGGGACCCTCTGGATGGCCCCTCCTGCTCGTCAGTGTCCCTGGAGAAGGGAAGGCTGGGTCTGGAAGGGGTTCCCTAGGGTAGTCAGAATAGCCCCTCCTGCTCCAGGGGTCCAGGAGCGCTCAGAGCCAAATGTAGTGATGCTGATGCAGCAAGGGTGGCCGGAATTTGGGGATGGGGAAGGGGGTGAGGGGAAGGGGAGAGAGACAGGGAAGCCAAGTCTCCTGGGCTTTGGGATGGGGACAAACGATGCCAGAGGGGGTGTGGAAGGACACAGAATGTGATGTTTTCAGATTTCCCACTTTAGTTGAAGACTAAGCCTGCGCCCAAGGGAGGTAAACTAATTTCAGGTTTAGTTTAAGCCAGAAATAATTGGGAAGGTAAAACTGTTGCAAAAGAGAAAACCACATCGCACATTTAAAGACAAACTGAAACAATCTCTGGATTATCCCAAGGCGTTTCTTCCATCTGCCAGTGTTTGGGAGTTCTTAGTTTCTAGGGCCCTTTCCCCTGCAGGCCTCTGGCCTGGCGGCAACCTCACGAGTCCTTGCGGCAGTCCTCAGGGAGGGCACGTGAGGGGAGGGGTGGCCCTCCCTCTGTTTTAGGGAAGACCTAAGTGAGGTTGAGACGGTGGTGGCATAAACAGAATGTGCTTTGGGCAGGAGCACGGCTTAGACTTCCAGAGACTCCTGGATGCCAGCACCTACAAGGAGCCCTTTCGGAGGGACATGATCCGCTGGGGGGAGGAGAAGCGCCAGGCCGACCCAGGCTTCTTCTGCAGGAAGATCGTGGAGGGCGTCTCCCAACCCGTCTGGGTAAGTGGGCTCTATGGCAGCATTAGGAAAATCTGTTTTCCCCAGCCCTCTGCCTCTCCCCAGACATATCTCACATGTGTCCATTTCTCTCTCACTACGGCCAGCCCCTGGTCCAAGCCCCCACTGTCTCTCACCTGGACAGTCGTAGCAGCCCTCACACTGGTGCCTGCTTCGGCTCTTGTTCCTTGTGATCCATTCATCACACAGCAGCCAGAGTGACCTTTTAAAAACATCAACCAAGTCCTGTTTAGAACCCTTTGTCCCACTGTTTTGAAGGACAGAATCAAAATCTGTAACGTGAACTTCTGGGCTTTGAACGATTGGCTCCTGCTGCCCTTTTAGCCTCCTTACTCCTTAAGCCGCAGCAACATTGGCCTTCTCTCTGTTCCTCAAATAAATCAAACCCCTTCTGGAATCAAGGCCTCTGCCCGTGTCCTTCTACCTGCCCGGACTGCCCTTTCTATCCCTCTTCACCTGGTTAGCTCCAGCTCAGCTCCCATGGCACCTCTACAGGGAAGACTTCCCTGATGCCCAGGTCTTAACTGGCGCTCCTGGTCAGGTGCTCCCATAGCACCTTACCCTTTTCCTTCCTCATTCATTCTGGCAGCCAGTAGTATCTTATTTTTTTTTTTTTTTTTTTGCGGTATGCGGGCCTCTCACTGTTGTGGCCTCTCCTGTTGTGGAGCACAGGCTCCGGACGCGCAGGCTCAGCGGCCATTGCTCACGGGCCCAGTGTGGGATCTTCCCGGACCGGTGCATGAACCCGTGTCCCCTGCATCGCCAGGCAGACTCTCAACCACTGTGCCACCAGGGAAGCCCCCAGTAGTATCTTCTTGTAGCAGGACTGGTTCCAGGTGATTTGGGGATACATCATGTGAAAATCTGATGAAGTCCCTGCTCTCAGGGTACTTACATTAAGCTGGGGGCAGAGGGAGTTAGGCCCTAATAAAATACAGAATATGTCAGGTGGAGATAAATACTAAGGGACAAAATAAAGCAGGCCAGGACTCTGAGGAGGGCTGGGTTGCTGCTTTATTAAAGGTATCAGGAAGGTCTCACTGATGTGATGACGTTTGAGCGGGACCTGAAGGAAGTAAGGGAGTGACCCAGATGGGTTTTTGTGGGTGAAGCGTGAGTGGCAGGAGGTGAGGTCAGATCATTGCAGATTCTCTGGAAGAGCCTGGGGTTTCTCTGAGTGAGACGGGGACTCACTGGAGGGTTTGGAGCAGAGGAGAGGCATGGTCTGCTCTAAGGTTTATAGAAAGCTCTCCCTGGCTGCTGCGGGAGGGCAAGAATGGAAGCAGAGAGGCCAGGCAGAGGATCTTTCCACAAGACAGCAAAATGGCCGTGGCTCGGCTTGGGGTGGTGGTGGAGTGGAGAGAAGGGGCGGATTCTGCACAGATTTTGAGGATAGAACCAATAGGATTTCCCGATATGATGGCTCTGGGGTGGAAGGACAGGAGACAAATCCAAGGGTTTTGTTCTGAGTAGCTAGACAGATGGAGTTGTGATTTTCTGAGACAGGGACGGTGTGGAGGAACAGGTTTGGGGACAAAATCAGGAGTTCAGTTTCAGAGTGGTAAGGTAGAGATGCTTGTTGATATGCGCTGTGATTACCTGGTAATTAGTGAAGCTGCATCTTTAGAGTCTGTCTCTCCCACCAGACAGTGAGCTTCCTGAGGGCAAGCACCGGGTCTGTTGTGCTCACCACTCTATCCCCAGTGCCTAGCACAGTGCCCGGCACACAGTAGGTGTTTGGCATAGTACTTAAGTTTAAGAGCTGGGTGAATGAACATGTCCGCAGCATGGACAAAAACAGCTGACCTCTTTATTAGCTTATTCATTCGTTCATTGACCATGTGCTCCTGAGTGCTCCTTATGTGTCAGACGGTGCTAAGGGCCAGGAATAGAGCAGTGAATGGAGACACAGTTCTTCCCCTCATGGAGCTGACTCTACAGAGTGCAGATCAGGCAATAAACACACAAACAGATAAATAGTGACGGTTTCATGAATACTTAGTGCTCAGAGAAAAATAAAAAGCATATAAGAATTGAAAGGGACAGGAAGGGAGCCAGGATGGTAGGGACAGCCTCTCCGAGGAGGTGATATTTGAGCAGAAACCTCCATGAAGCAAGGGAGCCTCCCTCATGATTATCTCGGCAGAGGGAGTAGGATGTGCAAAGGCCCTGAGGAGGAGACCCGGTTGGTATGTTTAAGAAACAGCAAGGTTGTCAGTTGGCTGCAGTAGAATGCATGAAGGGAAAATGATGGGAAGTAGGTGCCAGATCTTATAGGTCCTTGTAAATTGGGGTGAGAGCTTTGGATTGTATTAGAATTATGGGAAGCCTTTGAGAGATTTAGGGCAAGGGGCTGACGGGAATCACATTTACGTTTTAAAAGGCGCTGGGGGCAGGGACCGATTAGGGTATCTTTGTTTCTGGCACCAGTTTGCTCATCTGTAAAATGAGTGCATTGGATTGGCTGATCTGACTTCAAAGCTTGAGGTCTCTTCTTCAGCTCAGCGATGACCAACATGACCGTAGAGTACAGTGTGGGCATGTCGGGCTGTGGAGTGCAGCAGTCAGGAAGGGCTGCCTGGAGGGAGGAGGGGATGTCCGTCCCAGCTGGCTGGGTAATAATAGGGAATGGGGCTACACTTTCCTGGGTTTTGTAGTCCATGCTCCTGTTCATTTGGACTGGGTCTGGGTCTTCTCCTCTTTCTCCCTTACCCCCTTGCCTTGTCCTGTTGCTCCCTGCACCATGTCCTGTTGGGCACTTGTTTGTGTCCTTTCCCTGCAGCTGGTGAGTGACACACGGAGGGTGTCTGACATCCAGTGGTTTCGGGAGGCCTATGGGGCTGTGACGCAGACGGTCCGCGTGGTGGCCACAGAGCAGAGCCGACAGCAGCGGGGCTGGGTGTTCACACCAGGTGAGCTGCTCACAACCTCTGCCCCAAGGCTCTGCACGCAGGCCAGCCGCCCCACCTGTAGACCAGGCCACCCACTCCTGGGCTCTCGGTCTGGTCTTCCGCTGTCTCCCTGGCAGGCTGTGGGGAGTGAGCAGGGGATTATAAAAAGGAGTCTGAGGCCTGGGCCTCAGGAGCACCTCCAGATTAAAAAGTGGAGTCGGGTAGAAGATGGTATCCTTGGGGATGAAGGTTGCCCCGTGACCTTGGCCTGGTATCCTTCCTTACCTGGGCTGCCTTCTCCAGGCCAGTGGGCTTCTGGAGGTCTGGCTGGGACCCATTTCCCTGGTCCTTCACCTTTGCTTTCCAGCCTGGTGGGGGGACTGACAGTGGGTCAGAGGGTAGGCCTGACAAACTTCACTCCTGTTTGATTAACAGAGTAGGGGGAGGGGGGAGAGGAAGCTCTACTAGGCAGACTTAGTGGTGCCAGCCCAGGACCTACACTGTGGCCATTCAGAGGCATAGCTCATATGTCTTCCCTGCCCTAGGTCATTGTGACTTGGGGAAGTTCAGATCAGTGGGTACGACCCTTCCTAATGGCTGCTCACCTCCTGGGCACTCACTCTGGCCAGGCCCATGCTAAGCCCTTTAAACATTATCTCACTTTATAGTAGCAGCAAACCCACCAGGTAGATGCTCTTATTACCATTCTCATTGTCAGGTGAGAATGGCACACTCTGCCTTCCATGAGAACTGAATCAGAGATACAGGGATAGAAATGGACACGACCAGCTTCACATAAAATGAAAACGAAATGGCCATTTGGGTTGTCTGTGGTTTGAGATGGCAGTGACAAGTGAAGACTTAAGTCGGCGGGACCCTCTGGGGGGCTCAGGTGGCTGTGGACTGCTGAACCTGCTATCCTGGTGTTTCATGGGGTGGGGAAGTGCCCTTTGGGGTAAGTGGAGCTTGGTTCCGGAGGGACCGAGGGGAGTGCAAGAGAGGGTGGCTCCATGTGGGGTCAGCAGGCCACAATGCCCGATGCCTGGTGTTTGTCAGGAGGGATGGGGCCTGACCTCGCCATACCTCCTCTGCAGGGGTGGATGATGCTGAGTCAGAATGTGGCCTGGACAACGTCGGGGCCTTCGATTGGGTCATTGAGAACCACGGAGATGAGCAGCACCTGGAGGAGCAGTTGGAGCACCTGATAGAATTTGTCCGCTCCAGACTTTAGCTGGCAGGTTCTAGGAGCGAGTGGGGGCTGCCAGGGTGAGGGGGGACTCCCTGTGCTGAACATGTGGGTGCTGATGCTGGCCGAGGTTGGGGGAGCAGACAGAGGGCCTGTGTCAAGGTTTCTGGGGGCTGGTAGATGTCAGACAAGTTAAGAAACCACCAGGGACCTCATTTCTTCGTGGAAAGGACAGCCCTACCTCTTTACAAGGAGACTTAAAGGGCAGAGAGGGGTGAGTTGGCTGTGCTTGAAGCAGAAGCATCACCATCTCCATGGGTGCCAGACCTGTCAGCCTGTGGTGGCCTTGCTTCCCCGACTGGATGCTTTCAGCCCCTTGTTCTCGGCAAGAGCCTGGGGCTCCCCGATGTGGATACTAATAAACCTTCTTGGAGCACCTACTCAGAGCTGGACATCTCTCGTCTCCCAGATGACAACCCAGCCTGTGTGGCTCCGTAGGGCCTGGGTTGTCCTGGTGGCTGTGGGTTTCTGCTCTGCCTCCCAGCTGGGCGGGAACATATCTTGCAGAGGGTGACCTTGATCCGGGCCAAGTGGGTAAAAGGCTTGTTTGTGTCTGAGGCAGGATTGGAGTCTGAGGGTCTTGTCTTCTGGGATGGCCCCAAGAGAGGCTCAGTGTTCCACAGAAAGTGCCACCAGCAAGTACCCAGAGGGACTGGGGTATCATAGAGGGGCAGAGGCACCAGAGCTTGATGGCACCTGGTAACCATTGTTTGGCCCTGGGCAAGTCACCATAAACCTCAGCTTTCCCATAGAAGGCCTTGGACTTGACCCCTTTTATTTATATAGCCTTATACAATTTCTAAATTTCTTCCAGATTCTTCACAGCCACCCTCTGAAATATTCAAGGAGCGCATTTTCATCTGCATTTAGCAGATGCCAAGGACTCAGAGGAGTGAACAACTTGCCCAGGGTGGAGGGTTAGTATGTGTTTGTACTCCGGCCAGGACACAGGCTGCCTGACTCCTGACCAGGGCCCTTGGCCACGTGCCTTTGGGGTACGGTGCAAAGCCCTGTGGCTCCTGGCTGTCCTCAGGCCTAGCCTGAACCCACCAACTCTCTGGCCCTGGCTTTGTCCTCCTCCTACAAATCCTGTGGGTCCTCACTGATAAGGGGACAACCAAAGAAATTCCATCAGTTTCAGCATGACCCAAACTGAACTCTACATATTCCTGCCCACATCTCCTCCCTACATCACCTCTTCCTGATGCTAGTTCCCTGGCTCTTCAGTTAACCAGGCCTGAAAGCTTGACAGTCATCGTGGACTCCTCCATGTCCCCTGACCCCCGGCTAATCAGCCCCCAGGTTCTGTTAACCTGCCCTCCCTGTGTCTGTTACTGTAGGGAAATCTGTGTGCCCAATGCATAGTGAGGCCAAACAATACTAAAACGTCAGAGTTTGGAGCAGAGGAAGGTTTATTGCAGGGCCGTGCAAGGAGACAGGTGGCTCGTGCACTAAAAAGCCTGAACTCCCCTCAAGCTTTCAGCAAAGCCCTTTTATAGGAAAGGTGAGGGAGGGCTGTGGTTAGTTGTTGCAAACTTCTTTGGTTTCAGATCCTTTGTTCCTGAGGTCAGGTCACGTTGTTCCTGTAAACCTCCACCAAAACAAATGTTATTCTCTGTTCTAACCAGAAAGGGCAAGGTCCCAAAGGCTCAACTTTTACTCTCTGAGGTCCAGGTCCTGGCTAAGAGGAGGGGGTCCCTGCGGAGGTCAGTTACCCTGCCGGGAGCGTTGGTGCAGCACCCAGTATGGGTCTTACCGCCAGTGCCCAGGCCCGGCTGAAGAGGCAGATCTCAGCTGGCGGCACCCTCAGGGCCAGGTCCCCAGACCCTGCCCAGCCATCATCACTGAGGGAGCCAGGCGCCCAAGGACCCAACTGGCCCTCAGGCTCCTCAGGCCGCCCAAACAGCAGGGCCAGGTCACGCAGACTGCGAGCCATGTAGAACTGCTGCTGCCATTAGGGTCGCAGAGGCGGGGACGGGGGAGAGGTTCACTGCAGCCTCAAGGCCTGGGCCCAGCCAGTGGGCGGCCATGGAGAGGGCGTGAGCTCTGCAGGACACAGCCTTCAGCCTGTCGCTGGGCGCCCAGCTCACCCGCAGGCCCCGAGGCCAGAAGGCCTGGAGGGCCCCGGGGAGAAGGCTGTGACCCGTCTCTTACCGCACTCTCTGCCACGAGGACCACTGCGAGGTTGACTGTTGGTGGGGCGGGGCCTCTAACCGCGGCGCTCAGGGTCTCGCGCTAACAGCCGCGAGCTAAGGGCTGCGTCCCCGCCCCGCCCCTGTTACGTGACTTCTCTCTGGGATTCTCACTGGAAGGTAAACTCCCTGATAGTTGGGCCGTGTCTGTCTTGTAGTTGTAGCCCTGCCTCCTTAAGGTGTACAGCATGATATATTTGTGTTTTTTTTTGCAGTACGCGGGCCTCTCACTGTTGTGGTCTCTCCCGTTGCGGAGCACAGGCTCCGGACGCGCAGGCTCAGCGGCCATGGCTCGCGGGCCCAGCCGCTCCGCGGCATGTGGGCTCTTCCCGGACCGGGGCACGAACCCGTGCTCCCTGCATCGGCAGGCGGACTCTCAACCACTGCGCCACCAGGGAAGCCCCAACATGATATTTTGATACATGTATATATTATGAAATGATTACCACAAAATAAGGTTAGTTAACATCTCTGCCACTTCACATAACTGCCATTTTTTTGGATGGTGGTGAGAACATTTAGCAACCTCCAGGTATGTAATACAGTATTGCTAAGTACAGTGACTATGTGGTACATTAGATCCCCAGAACTTATTCATCTCATAACTGGAAGTCTGTAACCTCTAGCCAACATCTCTGCATTTCTCCAGCTCCTAGCCCCTGGCAGCCACCATTTTACTTGTGTTTCTATGAGTTCAGCATTTTTAGATTCCATATATAAGTGAGATCATGCAGTATTTGTCTTTCTTTGTCTGAATTATTTCACTTAGCATAATGCCCTCAAAGTTCATCCATGTTGTTGCCAAAGTCAGGGTTTCCCTCTTTTTTTTTTTCTGGTTGAATAATATTCCATTCTGTGTGTATATATCACACTTTCTTGATCCATTTGTCCACTGATGAACAATTAGGTTGTTTCCATATCTTGGCTATTGTGAATAATGCTACAATGAACATGGGGGTGCAGATATGTCTTTGAGGTAGTTATTTCCTCTCCTTCAGATATATCAGATATATCTATCTGTCTCCTTCCTTAAATATCAAGGAGGCAGGGATGAAGCAGAGAAGGGGAGGTGGCTCTCATATTCCCTTGGTAGTGGTGCTGAGGTGGTTCCTGGCTCTGGGTATTTGGAAGAGTCACAGGATGTGACTTGGGAAGCCAGCGGGTCCACTCCCCACCCTTTGACAAGTTGGCACTGATGCCTCTTAACATGGGAGGCCCCAGTGGCTAACCAGTCACTTCTGCTGGATTTGAAGTTTTTCTACACTTAAAAAAAAAAACCCAAACTGATATTTCTCTAAATATCAAAATCAGTAATAACCCTGACTTTTGATACCCTATGTTTTCTTGAAAATTTTAGCTGCTTTTTTTTCAAGATATTTTGTCTGTGGTTATGATCTCGGAGTATAGCTCTTATTTTTTTAATATAATGTATATGTTCTTATATTTTTTATAAGGTTAAAAAATATTTATTTATTTATTTATTTATGGCTGCATCGGGTCTTCGTTGCTGCGCACGGGCTTTCTCTAGTTGCTGTGAGCAGGGGCTACTCTTCGTTGCGGTGTGTGGGCTTCTCATTGCGGTGGCTTCTCTTGTGGAGTACGGGCTCTAGGCCCACGGGTTTTAGTAGTTGTGGCTCACGGGCTTTGTTGCTCCATGGCATGTGGGATCTTCCCAGACCAGGGCTCTAACCCGTGTCCCCTGCATTGGCAGGTGGATTCTTAACCACTGCGCCACCAGGGAGGTCCCTATATGTTCTTTTAATAATCATTTGTATCACTAACATTCTCTTAAAAATTTTATTATTCCACTTCTAAACTGTGGAATTGAGGCATAGTTGGCATGTAATAACTGCACATATTTAAAGTGTACAATTTGATAAGTTTTGACATTTGTATTGATATATATCCATGAAACCAGTATCACAATCACAGTGAACATATCCATCACCCTCAGAAGCTTCACCATGTCTCCTCCTCTTGCCTCTCCCAACCCCTGTCCCCAGGCAGCCACTGATTTGCCTTCTGTCTCTATAGATTAGTTTGCATTTTCAATAATTTTGTATAAATGAGTCATACAGTATATATTTTTTTGGGTCTGATTTCTTTCACTTAGCATAATTATTTGAGATCCATCTACATTATTGCAGGTTCATGTCAATAGTTTATTTCTTTTTATTGCTGGTGTGTGGTATGAATATACCACCATTGTCTGTCCATTCACTTGTTGGACATTTGGGTTGTTTCCAGTGTTTGGATATGACAAATAAAGCAGCTATGAACATTTATGTACAAGTTTTTGTGTGGACATGTATTTTCATTTCTCTTGGGTAGATACCTTCTTAACTTTTTAAGGAACTGAACTGTTTCCCAAAGTGGTTGTACTATATGCCCACCAGTACTGAATGAGAGTTCTAGTTGCTTCATATCCTCACCAATACTTGGTATGGTCAGTCTTTTTAATTTTACCTATTCTAGTAGGCATATAGTGGTACCTCATTAGCATTTCATTTGCATTTCTCTAATGATTAATTTGTTACAAATCCTATGTTCAGTTTTGATAAAATCTCTCAACAAACTAGGAATAGAATGGAAGATCCTCTATCTGAAAAAGAACATCTACAAAAATCCTATAGCTAACAGCACACTTTGTAGTGAAATACTAAATGCTTTCACTCTAAGACTGGGAATGAGGCAGGGTTGTCCACTCTTATCACCTATTCAACATCATGTTGGAGGTTCTGGTTGGTGCAATAAGACAAGAAAAAGAAATAGAAGGCATCCAGATTGGGAGTGAAGAAGTAAAACTGTGTTTATTCATATATGACATGATCATTTATATAGAAAATTTGATGGAATCTCCAAAAAAACTACTAGAACTGATAAGTGAGTTCAACAGGATTTCAGGATACAAGAGCAATACATAAAAATCAATTGGGGCTCCCCTGTTGGCGCAGTGGTTAAGAATCCGCCTGCCAGTGCAGGGGACACGGGTTCGGGCCCTAGTCTGGGAGGATCCCACATGCTCTGGAGCAACTAAGCTCATGCACCACAACTGCTGAGCCTGTGCTCTGGAGCCCACGAGCTACAACCACTGAAGCCCGTGTGCCACAACTGCTGAAGCCCACGTGCCTAGAGCCCGTGCTCTGCAACAACAAAAGAAGCCACCGCAATGAGAAGCCCGTGCACCACAATGA